TAACACAAACCGATCATATTCTCGCTCCTCTGAACACACGCACCAAACTATATTAATATCTTACGATTTTAACAATTATAGTCTGAAATCCGTTGACGTGTACGAGGTATGTGTTCACTTCCTTTAAAATCCATACCACCAAAAGCATAATATAAAATATAAAATATAGCGATATATTAAAAAAAAGATAAATCATATGTAAATGAACGATAATTCCAGCTAACAATTTCCATCATGTATTAAACTATATCGTAAGTTTTAATTTTTTCATTAGTAGTGAGTTAAAACATTTGTAAACTATCTCTTTTTGTTTCCCTTTTTTATAATGTTGTGCTCTTTATTATTAACTGTAATTGAACTTATTACAAAGAAAACATCAAAATTTTTAGTCATTTCATATCTTGTGTTGATTTTGTCAGGTGAAGCAAAATTCATCTTTGGTTGATATTTTCACGAGTTAGTTTTTCCACCGGTGCATCAGACGCCATAACAAACCTCAAAGTAAAGTAAAGATGGCCCCTCCTCTAATTCTAAGTCTTTGGTACATTCCACACTAATATTTTTTCCCCATAAATCTTCAAGCAGACATTACATTTAAACTGATTTCATTATTCTATGAGGTGAAGCTGTGCTGAGGCTGACAAGAATTATGGGTGTAGCCGTGTATAATTAATCTCCTTATAATGATAAATTTATGTAGGCAAGTTACACGTGGATCAGGCGACCAAACGAGTTTTATAACCAGGAAAATAAGTATTGTCGGGTTTCACGAGGGAGCAGCAAGGCGGGGAAGACAGTGTACTAAACGGCGGGCCTCATCTTCCATTTCTCAGAGTAGGAAAATATTACAAAATTGATGATATTTCAAGTAAAAGAATGTGATCTTAAATATTTTATATAAAAACTAGCTGCGGTTCCCGGTGTTGTCCGAGTTTGAGTTTGATGAAGTACTGTACGTTATGTTAACCAGACTTAGTGCAACCACATGTTCAGACAAAATTTCAGCTCTATGTTAGCATCTATAGCCGTGCATAGCGAACAACTACAGAAACAAACATATATATTACAAAGATCACTCATTACAGTATATATAAGTGTTGTATATAAAAACACACATTGATTTGACAGATGAGTGAGGGAAGGACGAGGATGTCTGGTCAATTCATTACATCAGAGAAAAGTTTCCAGAACCGGAAATATTTTTGTGATTTGTACGGATTTTGAGAAGCTATTTTAGAGACAAATGTAACTTCAATTAATATTGTTACGAGATGCTAATGGGATGTGAACTCAGCTGTTATTTGTAGGTAATCCGGAAGTATAGTTACAGAGGGTAGTAAAATATTTTTGGAATAATGTGAACTAAGAGGAGGTTAATATAAATCGTGGACAACAATGAAGTAATGACAATCAGTAGATTAGGGAGAGAGAGGAGGTGGAGTGCTTCTGTTATGTGGGAGCGGACGTATCAGTAAATGGGATAATGAGTGATAAAGTGAGTAGCAGAAGGAAAGAAAGAAATAAGTGATTGGAGGAAGGTATATATAGAGAGAAAGGTTCGAATGTAGACAAAATAAAGAGATGTACGGGGGTATGGTTGAGCAGACGTTATAATATACTATATGTATGTGTGAAAAGCATAGACCGTGGTTGGTAACAATGTGGAGGATAAACAAGAGTAAACTCTGTAGTGGATTAAAAATACATCAATATAGAGATGTGAATGTAAAGAAGTAATGAGCAGTTTATGGTCTGTTTAGGAGGTAGGAACATGTATGGTTGAACGTAAAGGTGTAGACCAAGCTAGAGACTGAAGGACCATTTAGAGTGAGGGGGATGGGGAAGCCTTGTGTTGGGTGATTTGGGGACATGGTGATACTGGATGGCGTGAGGCGACAAGGGCAAATTAGACAGCCTTGTTGTGGAAGGGAAGGACCACAGTAGAACACATTTTTTACAACATTGAGAAAGAATGAATGGCTAAGACTGATGGGGAATGTGTGTGTGTGTGTGTGTGTGTGTGTGTGTATATTTTCTCTTGTTTCCGACAACCGTGCAACCTGCAGGCTGCAGGAAGCAGGAAAAGCCTTGAGCGAGTCATGATCGGAACTTAACATAGTGAATTCTGTCTGTTTTATATGAATGGTTCAGACGGACTCGGTGACACCGTGAATCAAGGCTGACGGACTGTTATTGGGACGACCAATGAGAGAGTGTTGTCTCGGTAACTATGGGAACATTACTGCCAAAATAAATTTAATTATTCATTACTTAATTGTTCTATGCAAAAAGCTGATATTTTTTATGGATTATTTAAATATTTACGAGGCTTATAAAACAGCATTAATCCCAACTTCCGTATGTAGATGTTACCAAAAAAAAACCAGGCCATGTATAGAATGAAAACTATGATAAAAGTTTATAAAAACACAATCAGGAGACCTGCTGTGTGACGTTACTTGTGCCAGTCACGTGGCCAAACATAACACCTGGAGGAGGGGAGAAGGAGGTGTTATGCAACCAGCCTGGGGGTCCTCACCATGATCACTTTCACTAGGTGACCAGGTTGATGTGGGAGATACACCCTCCACAGTCCCCCTCAAATTTATTCTTCTAAAAAATATAAAATAACTGATATCATAATCTTTATCTACGAAACACAATTTTAAGTACAAATTTAGATATAAACGCGTGTACAATAGTTCCTGTGTTGATATTCTATACAATGCTTCAGTAGAGAAATTAAATGGAGACAGTAGAACGCCTCTTACACCTAATTATATGTACTATATATTTTAATTGAATCGACTTACAGTACAACCATCCCGATGAAAATGTAGGATTAAGATTAAAATGTTCCTTTTTCTTTTTTTAATTAAACTGTTTTATCTTGAGAAGTTTATCCTGAGAAGTTATTTCACGTTTTCTGAATCTGAGTTGCGGGCGGCGAAGAAAACGGGAATATGATAACATCCAGGGAGCCTTACCTCCTGGCGTCTCCCTCCCACCTCACCCTTCCGTACACTGCTTACCTCCTCTCTGCACGACAGTTTATGAACAAGAAGCAAGACTACTTTTTGGCGTATCTATAACTTAAGTCGTGTTTACAACCTCAATCACATGTGTTTTCCCAAAAAATGAATAATAATAATAATAATAATAATAATAATAATAATAATAATAATAATAATAATAATAATAATAATTATTTGGCCAAGAGTGTATAAAAATAATATGGATTTGATGTTTATTTACATCTAGTGATTACATTATTCAGACAAGGATCAGTGTTGACTAGTAAAGGTCACAAACTGAACTACGGTCTCTTGCTTTTTATTCAGTACATCACGTTTTACGAAATAATGATTTAAATGATACATACATATACATGCTGATAGAACCTACAGTGATTTACTTGCATACATACATACATACATGCATAGTCTTATCTCTCAAAAAATAAATACATGGAACATATTTGGTGCTTTTGTTGAGTCGGAGTTGTTTAATGATAAGATAATAATAGGAATCACATTATCAAGTGACGTAGTAGATGACGACATTATTCCCTTCATTCTCCTGTATGGGTTCACAGGATGCCAGGTCCACCGAACATTGCCCGTTAAAGTACCTGTAAAAGAGAGAGTGAAGCAACATTGAGGTGAAGAGGAAGGGAGGAAAGATTGTCAACTAAAGGGGGAGAGTTAATAAGACGAAATGCCTTTGATTCCACCCTATTCAACAGTTGGACAGAAGAAGAGCCACCCCAGATATGAGAGCAGTACTCCAAGTTAGAACGAATGAATCCCTTATATACTTGAAGCAATTGCTCAGGAGTTAATTAGCTACGGCATTTGTACAGCATGAGTTAAAGATAATAATTAATAATAAGATATTTCAACAGACATATACTCTTTTATTAGTCAAATTAGGAAACTTCTCATTATTATTGTTATGGCGTGAAGTCATCTGTGCAGCTCTAATAATAATAATAATAATAATAATAATAATATAAAAGCGGTTAATCACTATTTCATTACTATAGTTACTTAAACATCCTCGTCAGAAGTAAATCATATCAGGCTGTCTGTAAAGCCAAGATATATATACAGTATATGTACAATAAATCCTATTGGTGTTAGATAAGATAAGATAGAGAGCTGCAGTGTCGCGTCCTGTAGTGCTCAGTCAACCTGGGGTAGTCAGTGCGGTGGTATAACGCGGTCGGACGCCATCATGTTGCCCACCATACAGGAAGCACCACTCAGTCGCTCGAAAACATGGAGCGCTAATGAAAACGTCGGTAGTTGTTTTTCAACGCTAATAATTATGTATACATACTCGGGACTGTTATACTCCGTGTCGGTAGTCATGTATATTCCATCAGTCATGTGTACATTCAAAGACAAAAGTTGTGTCGTGGTTTTGTCCGAAGATTAAATAGAACTCGTGAAACATATGAGCGCCCCGCCCCTACCACAAGGCAGAGCGCACCAAAAGTTTTAGCCCTTCGACATATGTTTTCACCAAATTTCACGACACGACTTTTGTCTTTCGTTGTACATAATCGGGCATATGTATTCTGGCAGTCGTGTTGCTCGTCTGGCATTGGCGTATGCACAGCTTAGTTATGTTCAGTGATTAGTCTTAGTTGAACCGATAATTAAGTGAAATCCACTGACTATGTATACAGTGCTTGTGAAGTGTGTATAGATGTGTAGGCCGGACGGACAAGTGTGCTCGGTGAGATATTTTATGTGTTTTCTTATTTTATATTGAGTTCAGTAAATATAGCTTAAGTATACCTCTTGACATGACTTGAAAATACGTGTTCATAATTATGGCTGAAAGATGGCTATAGTGATGTCTAACTCTACGATATATAATATTTTTATGACTCTAAATCCGTGGTATATAATTTACTCTTGGTCTGTGTGTTGAGTTACAGCATTATTGTCCGTGTTGAGTGTTTCACGAGTGAGTTAGTGAATGGTAATGATGCGTATGTCACCCCTGTCAGTTACTGTGTAGTGGTAATAAGTTTTCCCCACAAAGTTTATAAAAAAAAAAAAATCGATTCTGGTAATATTTTCAGAATAAACCAAATCGATTTAAGTTATTACAATTGCGAGTTTGGACAAGTGAATACAATAAACAATTGATAAAAAAGGAGAGCAAAGAGAGAATAAGGAAACACAGGGCAGGGGAAACCGCCAAGACCCTAACAGACGACACCATGTGCAAGACCTGCCGAAGACCGCTCCACTGTGAGGTAACTGCTGCTTCCTCCTCTTATTCTATTTTCTTTATCTATTATATGAAGTGACACGAGGATTAAGCAGTGATCGGCTTATACTCAAGAACGCTCGATCTGAGAAGGTCGACCTTGAGAATTATATCAGAGAGTAGATGCGAAGGATCAGTGTAGGTGTCTCGTATCATAATTATTTAGCAACACTTTCATTTAATTCTGCCAGGATATAGTTAAAAGTTAAAGGTAATATGTGTATATTTTTTATGGTTGGAAGCTTCTGAGATAGGAAGATATCTTTGTGACGTAGACGGTGTTATAAGAATTCTATAGGCTGGCGGAGGAGGCAGGGAGGTGTGTGAGTTTAGCACTGTAAGATTGGTGACAAGTACAGTGACGAAGACGTTACAGTGAAAATGAATGATTATAATGTATCTGTGAAATTTTAATATATTATAGAAAGAGGAGTTAGATGTTGTGGTTGATTATATATATAAAATAATAGGTCTTATAGGATGGATGAGCCACAATGTAGGATGGATGAGCTACAATCTAGGATGGATGAGCCACAATCTAGGATGGATGAGCCACAATCTAGGATGGATGAGCCACAATCTAGGATGGATGAGCCACAATGTATGGGCGAGAAATTGACAGTGAGGGAGACCAATTAAGGTGTATTAATCCCTTCATTACGGGGACGCCAGTTTGAATATTATGTTTGGTTAACGCCAGACGATTTTATTCAGCACAGAGGGGACCCCGTAAATAAGTGGTTAATAGACTATCTCCCCTAATAGACTATCTCCCCTAAGCAAGAGGATATTCTGGTACTTCAAGGAACAAATTCTTTTATAAAAACTTCAAGTATTTCGAATGGACCAGGAGTGTGTGCAGTGCAGTACTCGAGTCGTGATAGGCATTATAAAACACACTGCAGCTTAAGAAGGATGTGGGAAAGGAGGGGGGGAAGGAAGGAAGGAAGGGGGTGCTTTTGATAAGATAACTATTGAGAAAGATTCGATAAGAGAAATAGTATTGATATAGGTAATGTATCATTGTATTTTGAATATAGGAAGATTAGATACTACTTAGCCCCTGTATACAGTTAAGAGACTTAGTTGAACATTTTAATAGTTTAAGGAGTACATGGAAGTCTGTAGAAAGTTGTGAGTTATTACAAGTGTTACCTCAGAATGTATGGTTGTGGAGGTGTGATGAATAAGCTTTAGTGGTAACGATACGTTGTGTCAGAGTACTTCACTGTCTGCCATGGGTAGTCGGTTGTTGAGTCATATCTGTTGTCTCGTGTGTGTGTGTGTGTGTGTGTGTGTGTGTGTGTGTGTGTGTGTGTGTGTGTGTGCGCAAGAGTCAACATATGCAGTCAGTCCTACATGAGCAAGCATATTTGACCAACACAGATAAGCTTGGCTCCCAACTTTCTCTCTGACTATCTTCCTTTCCAACCATTAGACCTAAGAGGACGGAGGTACAGTACATGTCCCGTGTCACGTAGCACCAGACCTTGTGGTTGGTAGTTGCCCTTTCATGATACTCTTGATGACAGCTGATGGGCTGATAAGACAAGCGATAACTCAGCCTTGGGGAGCAGGAAACTATAAGAGCTGGTTTATATACAGCTGTTTCCTTGTTATCATTTTAATACTTAAGAACGTATTTTTTTCTTATTGATGTGATCTTATAGATGTGTTTGCCTGTCATTAATTTGTGTTTGTTTTGTCTATATATCAATATTTTTGTTTCGGTGTTTGCTTCTGTGTTCATGTATCAATGTGTATTAAAATTTTCATGAACATATCCGTATATGTGTTGTAATTATTGTTCTCATTGCTTCAAATTGACTTTCAACTGTGTATCCAGGTGTTGAACTTTTGTACATAAAAAATAGTCTTCCTAGAACACCATATACAGAAGACTAATGTACTATCGTGGTCAGAGTAACACAGATGTGAAAACACGCGTCCTAATAATTTCTTCTATTTTTTGTATTGCTCTTTTATTGGTAAATACCTTAACCCTTTATTAACATTTTTGTTTTTTTCTCCGGCAGGGTAACAAGGACCTCGGTCCCTGGGGACTCAGAGGAGCCTACAAGTCCGTTGCACTGACTTCACGCCGCCTGTGGACAGCGCAACACCACCGTGACGAAGAGAAAAGTGAGGAGCAGGGGTCATCTGCGAGATCCTCGAGTGAGCTTTTGGTTAACAGAGTCGACGACTGTCTGAGTAAGGAGGATAAAGGGAAAAGAGACAGCGCCCTCGCCAACGTGTTTGGTGGGGCTCCTCTTTTTCACACCCATGCACCATCTCACGCCCATGTCCAAGTAGATACTGACGACAACGAAGTCTTCACAGTGTCCAATTTCAAAAAGGGCGACAACGCACCGAAAGTGAGTGGAGACAGCCCCAACTGCAGCAACATCTCTAAGGCAAGTATTGCCTCTTTCGAAAGAAATAATGAGAAGATAACAAAGACAAAACCACTAGTCCACCAAGACGATAACTCTAGGTATGGAAGAAAGATAGAACAGGCCAATCCGCCGTCGGGAGCAACCGAAGTAGGCGTTGTAGGTAGCTTGCAACCAAGCGTCACAAACACCACGACACTGGAGCCCTCCAAGGAACCCAGGAGCCGTCCCTTTTTCTTTCTCCCTTCTGAAGACGAAGAAGAGGCCTCACACACCGACAGTGCTGACCACAATTTACGTTCAGACCCAGACCTTTACCCCATCCCTAAAAACGGCGGCAGTAGCCACCATTCTTCAACCTCACCCAAGGATAAACCTCGCACCCCCGTCTCACCACCCAGTCCCCAGAAACAATCTCCTCCTGCCGATGGTTCGGTCGAAATCAAGAACCGAATCCGGTATTGCCTCCAACGAGCCAGAAGCAGAAGCACATCACTTGGTGGCTTAGGAAGCTTCGAAGCAGGTCTATACCGTCTTGAAGGTCTATTGGACGGAAAGAAAGACGACGGCCACTCCAAAGACAACCCCGCCCACCCTACCCTCTCTGGCCTCCCCTCCTCCAAGCAGCGGCCAGCGGAGCATGTGGCAGCCTTAATGCCTAAGTACAAGGACACTGGCACCATCACAGGTAAGAACCAATTCTTGTTGTATTTTTAGTACGTGGAAGTAACGCATTACCAGCAGTTTATATGGGTTAATTGACTTTTTGTTGTTTTACACTTGGAAGAATCATCTGATCAAGTGGCATATTCTTGTTATTACCTATGAATCCCTTTTATATTTTCTTTAGTTTAATGGGTTTAATACAATAAAAATAGACTAAGTAAAAAGATATACAGGGTGAGCATAAAGTCTTTCCCTGATTATGAAAAATCATATCTCGAAGACCATTCTAGAAGAGTTTCAGCCATGGGTAGATTTCCAACAAGATGGAGCACCGCCACACTGGGGTTTAGCTGTCCGTCAGTTCTTGAACGCAACCTTTCCAAACCGATGGATTGGGAGAGATGGTCCAACACCATGGCCGCCACGCTCACTAGACATTACACCCTCTTGATTTCTTTTTATGGGGGTATACGAAGGACAAAGTGTACAGTTCACCAGTTCCTGATCTTGAAACTCTGAAGGCAAGGATAACGGAGGCAATAGCGACGGTGTCTGAAGAGATGCTGCAGAAAACATGGTGTGAAATCGAGTATCGCTTAGATGTGCTCCGGGCAACAAACGGAGGAGCACTTGTTGAAGTTCACGAGTAACGGAAAAAAAAACTTCTTGAGATAAGGTATCAGCTGCAAAAAACTGTATGTTTGTACGTAGTGTATGTTGTGTGTAATAAATGTTTGTAATCAGGGAAAGGCTTTATGCTCACCCTGTACTTTTCAAGAACATATCCTACAAATTATTATTATCACTACTTGGATTAGCCCTAAAGCCTCTTCATTTTCTGTGATACAGTTTAAGTGGGAAACTCCTGACGTCCACAAGTATTCCTAACATTTTGCGGACGTTATTTAGCGCCAGGCTTGGTGTGAGGTGATGGGAAGGGGAAAGGAGTGAAAGAACCAGTGCGTGGGAGAGTGTCTACATAAGGGATTACTTCTGGAGCTAAAGAGAAAATAAATCCTGAGGAAACATTTGTTTTGCATCAGAGTAGTACAGAATCACATACAGATAAACCCAGCGGTCATTTGTGATACTCTGCTTAATTTATTACAGCATAGTATCTGTAGCTGTTACCTCAGCTGACATACAGCAGAGTAAAGTGCTTCAACCACTGTAAATTGAACCTATATATATATATATATATATATATATATATATATATATATATATATATATATATATATATATATATATATATATATATATATATATATATATATATATATATATATATAATCATCTTGATAAAATCACACGGGAAAATGGATTTACATGAAATATATAATCATCTGAATTTCTACAAATTGCAAAATGCTCTGACTATGTCAACACTGTCGACTCTCTTGTTAGAACCATCAAAACTTAAACCATAGCCGAGGGCACACAAGGTATCATTGTCTAGTTGTTTAGAGGAGAGATTCACTACACAGTTGTGATTGGCATCCTTAGTCCAATCACTGTTTCTAATAAGGAGTGCCAATTTGTGGTCTAGCTTAGCTTGAAGATCAGAACGCTCACGTCTCAGGTTATCGAAACAATCATCCAACATGAACTTCTTCCAATCACTCGGTGTGGTCATATTAAAAGCATGCTTTTTCTGTCTTACAATACGGAAAGCTTCACCCACTTCAATTTTCTTTATTTCAAAGGGTTTCTTTAGGAGCGCTTAATAAGCAAATAAAGAAAGGATAGATAAACGAGGAAACATATGAGAGAAGCCTTAGTATATATTATATAGCCTGGTGTTGCTAAGAAACTACTGTAATTAAAATAAATCATACTTGTAGACGTGTCTTGAATGTAGAAGTGTTGTACGCCTCTATATGAGTCTTGTGCAAGTTAGTTTCGTCTGTTGTTTGAGGTGGTGGAGAAATACCAATAAGAGGTCGACATTGTATGGCCGGAACATCTGGCATCAACGCCTACCCCCCAGCCATGAGTGCTAAAAATACCCCCCAGGTGTTGGCGGCGCTAACCTGATATATTCATCTGTTCGTGAAGCCAAGCATCTCATTATTTTATGTTGGGAAATAATTTGAAGGATACCTAACTGACAGACTTTAAAGATATTAATAGCCATGATATCAACGGACTCCATCTTGTTAACACCAGAGGACCGGAAATCTTGGCAGGGGATCAGGAGTCACCCCTCGTGCCATGTTCACGCATGCGCACCGCTGATGCTGACAACATCTAGTGAGACACCCCAACAGTGTGTGGTTACCGAGTGTTGGTGTCGGTGTTCTACAGTAACTACAAACTTTTGTGAATGAACTCGTGTATTAAATTGTAGCATTATGGAGCTGTTGTTTGTACAAAGACAGCGGTAAAGTTTAAAAATAGTCGGAGTATTATGCGCTAGAGCGACCAGAGCCTTTGTTTACATCCACAGCTGATCATCATCTGGTTAAGACTCGTCCCCGGTGTTGCTGAGTTACAGTAGATGTGAACAGTGCCAAGGAAGTTCTTGTCCCTCAGAGGAAGCAATGGTGTCTGTCGTCTAATATATTACAAATTAAATATTTAGTTACACAGTATATCCGAAAATTGCAATTAAAAATGACATGATTCAGAAGACAGTAATGATACGTCTTACCTTAGAATTAAACGTTTACTGCATCTAATATTTCTTACTAATTGTCAAGTTATTTCCAATTCCCTGTTATATATGTTTCATGAATGGCGTTTCAGAAGTATTGGAAATGTTATAAAGTGAGATTGTTGTTGTGGTACTGTACACGTCGACACACAACACTGGATAGTTCAGGGAGGAAAGTTATTGTGAGGAAGAGGAGGACAAGTGATTGTGGTAGTGATGGAGGAGTAGAAGATGGATCTTTTTGACACAGGTAATGTGGGTGAGAAGAACAAGGACCCCCCCCCCCCTGAGTCCTAATACACCCCAGTCCACATAGACCCGTCACCCTACTCTTAATAGACCCTATTCCTAATAGATCCAGTCCCAATAGACCTCAGTTCCAATTGACCCGTCTTAATAGTAAACCCTAATATACCAAGTCATAATCGACCCTAGTTCTAACAGACCTTAGTCTTAATTGACCCCAACTTCACCCAACTTTATAATTAGGTTTGTAGCTCTTTAGGAATAGAACCTAATTAGGATTACAGTCCATTACTAGTGAGACGCAGTTGTGTTTGTAGGTGTTAGGTTTAAGAGCTCCCTTGGCCAGCCACAGTGAATGAATCCTTATGAAAAAAAGTTTCCCGTTGAGGTTTTTAATTACATACAAATATATAAAGAAAATAAGGATATTAAGTCTCCACCAACCTTGCGTGTTGGTGTCATATAAAAGTCTTTTCATCATATTAGAGGTTTATTATGGAACATCATCTCAAGAATTATGTGGAGGGAAGATTCTTGTTTTCGTTTAGGCGTCTACAGTCTGTAAACCCAAGTGGGGCTTCTTTACACCTTTGTCATTACACATTTACGATTGTTTACCTGGACAAGAGTTCCTGTTTCTTTGTTTACAAGACTTGTGCCAGTGGTCACCTCTCCCTCTCTTGTTTACAGTGTGTGTTGTCTCGAGGCCAAGTTCACTGATCTGATGAACCTAGAGATAATAATAATAATAATTCACGTTTTATTAAGATAACATGGCAACCCTAAGACTGAAAATATACAGTGAACAGAGGTGATAGGTTATATATGGTGGAAGCGGGGATGGGTCACTTGATTTACAAAAGCTTTCAAATATAAGAAACAAAGAGTCAACATAGATTAACTATAGATCTGGTGATGTTTGAGCTGGACTAGTAAACATTCTTGTGACCAAGGGATTCTATCAAATGTACCAAACTAAAACACGAGAAAAGGTTGGACCAACACAGTCAGATACCGGCGAGCTAACTGATAACGACGGAGAAATGAGCAATAATCTGAATAAATATTTTTCAACAGTTTTCACCACCGAGAATTTAAACATGATACCCGAGGCACCGACTCTATACAGAGATAGTGAAGAAAACGAATTAAGCGATAGTAGTGACTAGAAACGATGTTAGTAAGCAAATAGACAAACTAAAGCCTAATAAGTCACCTGGTCCCGATGAGATATTTGCCGGAGTATTAAAGGAATGTAAGGAAGAGCTTAGTATGCCCATAGCAAAGTTGTTTAACATGTCCTTAAAAACAGGTGTAGTACCAGAATCCTGGAGGATAGCGAATGTAATACCGATTTTCAAGAAGGGAGATAGATCACTATCCTCTAACTACCGTCCAATCAGTCTAACGTCAATTGTAGGCAAATTACTGGAAGCAATCATTTCAAACTCTATTCGAAATCACCTGGAGAAGCACAAGTTGATCAATGATTCCCAGCATGGCTTCACGAGCAGGCGTTCATGTCTAATCTATTAACATTCTTTTCATCAGTTTTCGAATCAGTGGACGAGGGGCACAATTATGATGTGGTATATCTCGACTTTAGCAAAGCCTTCGACAGAGTCCCCCACGAAAGACTAATTAGAAAAGTAGAGGCTCATGGCATTAAAGGTGATATTCTAAAATGGATTAGGGCGTGGTTACAGGACAGGAAACAGCGAGTGAGCATTAACGGCACTAAGTCCCATTGGTTATCCCTCCTCCTAGTCACAGGCCTGGCATATGACATCATTAGGGACCTGCCACACTTTGCCATAAACAGATAAAATGTACCGGGAACTTTCCCCCCACACTCTCATCATTCTCTCACTTTATGTAACTTGACAAAACCTATGACCCTTCAGGCTTTTACGCCCTTAATGTACGAGTCATAAAGGCAAGTATGAACTTTTCATACTTCCCTGTTGGGCGCTGTAAACGCTTCACCTTGCACAGGATGTAAGGGGGTGCACAATAAACTAGCCCCCTCGGGGGCAAATCTGAATCTGAAATCCCATTGGAGCAACGTCACTAGTTGAGTTCCCCAAGGCTCAGAACTTGGACCATTATTATTTATTATA